GAGAATTGCAGTACAAAATAAAGTCATTGCGAAAATGATAGAAATGTGGTTTAACCTTAAGATATTTAGCTTTATGGATGAATAAAGGTATAAATTGGGATAAATCGAATAAATTGGGATACTCCTCTTCTTTTGAAAATTGAAAGGGTATAAGTATTTTTTGTGGGGGTGTGGGGTGTGTGGGGGGGTATTATATAAGTTGCATCCTGATCCACACTCCACACCAGTAGGTGGCGGTAATGCACACCATTAAGTTGCTTGCCTACCGCCATTAAAAGAAGAACTGGTTTCTGTCGCGAGATCTGGCAATGCGGAAATTAAAGAAGGAGATGGACATCAGAAATGCAGCAAATTTAAAGTATTTACCAAAGACAGGTAGATTCTTCTCTCCTGTTAATGTTGCCGATTTTAAGTCAGCTTCCGTCAACGAGGACCACCCAGCCAGCCGGAACTTTTCTCCAGCACCGGAGCTAGCTTACCTCCAGAGCCCAGCATCTTCAAACAGCGTCTCGGATTCTGCTGTGAGGGCGATCGTAAAGGGAACCGGTGATGACGAGTCTCCAGTCACACCGCCACCTGGGCCGCTCGTCGAGTCCGGGAGCTGCACCTCAACGCCTCCACTGTCCAGGGACCCAGCGCTGTGGGGGGACATTACGGAGCGGCTCCGCGAAGAGGCGATTTCCATGGGGCCTGCAGCTTTCCAGAACCGGTCCTCCTATTATCCCGCATCTGGAAGGGAGTCCAGACTTGGGGGGCGTTGGACACGCCATCTCACCAACGATTTGTTTCATTGCCAGCTCCCGAACAACCAAATTGTGTCGAGGGAATGGCTTCTTTACTCTCCATCAACCGGATCAGTTTATTGCTATGCCTGTAAACTCCTTTCATCCCAGAAGCATTCATTTATAAGCGGATTTAGCGATTGGAGACATCCACAGAGGTTAAATGATCATGAAAAGAGTCCGGACCATAGACAAAACATGCTGTCCATATTGCACAGGTCTAAATATGCGTGCAGACTGGACGCTTCTTTTGCCCGACAGCTTGAGTCAGAACAGCAGTACTGGGAGGAGGTCCTCACACGTGTAGGACTGCCGTTTGGAGGTGACAATGAACTGCTGGACCCTGCTGACAATGGGAACAGTTTGGGACTACTTACGGAGAAGCATGGCAGTAAGGACAGAGGTAAGTGGTGTCATCAACTGTGTGCGAAGGACTTATTTCACTAATGGGTGATAACACTAAGCAAGTGATGGCAGAGGAAATCAGACACGCAAAATATTTCTCTGTAATGTCCTGATGCATCTCAGTAATACAGGTAAAAATTCAAAAAGAAAAAAAATTATAGGTCCTCTGGATGAGTTCCTCTTTAATGAAACGTTTCGTCTCTCCTCCAAGAGACTACTTCAGTCTGAGAG